GCTCTGCCAGGCCGTCGCCACGGGCTGACTGCTGCGGGGGGGTTAGCGATGTGTGCTGGGGGACGTGAGGGCTCTGCATGACAGCCCTCTGCGGAAACAACACCCTGGACCAAGCCCCCTCCTCCTTTCTCTGCCCTTCCGAATGGAACAAAATGGGGAGGCTGCGAAACTCTCCAGAAGAGGTTTGTGGAAAACCTGCTTATGTTTTATTTGCATTTCCAGTCCTTACTGGAAATGAAGTCAAATGCCAGCTTCAGAAGGAGTTGCTCAGTGTCTATTAGTATTCAGTACTGCCTCCCTGACTTCCCCATCTCCTCCAGCTGCCATCTCAGGACCGCAGCTCGTCTGCTGTCTGTTTGGAGGTTTTATGAGCAAGTACGTGGGCAGGAGAGGCTCCTTCCCCTATGCATGAGCAGCACCAGGGTTTCTGCTGCCTGTGATGTGCAGCATAAAGCAGACCTGGCTGTGTGTTGCCCCTGCAGTGCTTTACACCATGGCATGCAGCCTGTGCTTCCCTGGAGCACAGGACTCCTCAGGGGTCCGTCCTGTGACCAGTGCTGTTCAACGTCTTTACCAGCAACATGGTTAGTGGGATCGAGTGCACCCTCAGCACAACCACGGACAACACCAAGCTGTGTGGTGCAGTCAACACACTGGAGGGAAGGGATACCATCCAGAGGGAGTCTGACAGGCTTGAGAGATGTGGAACCTCATGAAGGTCAACAAGGCCAAGTGGAAGGTCCTGCACCTGGGTCAGGGCAATCTCAAGCACAGATAGAGGCTGGGCGATGAGTGGATTGAGAGAAGCCCTGCAGAGAAGGACTTGAGTGTATTGCTTGATGAGAAGCTCAACATGAACCAGCAATGTGCACTCGCAGTCCAAAAAGCCAATCGCATCCTGATGCCCTGCCTCCAGAGCTTCCCATTTATTCCCAGGTCTCTCCAACTCCTGTAATCTGTGCCCTCCCTCAGTCTCTTCTTGGTTGCTATGGACAGCCTCCCTCCTTTAGGAATGGGCACAGAAGCATTTAAACCTGTAACCAAGCAAGGAGGAGAACTGGTATGTGACAACAAACAACTGATTTGTGTCAAGAATCAGGATAAGGAGAAAACACCAGACAGATTTGTCAGTGATAATCTGCTAGTTGAGGTGAAGCAAGGTTCTGCTTTGTCTGCTTCCCAGAGCTGGTTGCAATGCTGAATGCACATGGTAATTGCTCAAGGCAAAGGCAATGTACTCTAGAGGTAGAGAAATTTTCTTAAGTGGCTCATTGCTGGTACCAGTCCTTATCTACTCATATGAAAGTGTCATAAAAACAGGTTTTTATTGTTCCCAGTTGGTTTAATTGGCAGATACAGTAACTTTTAGCTGTTTGATGGTAGGTGTGGTTTTCCCAGAAGTGAAAGAGAAAGCAGATAAATTGTTTTCATATAACGATTGTGCCTCTTCTTTTAGTCTCACAGACTCCTGAACTCTGTTTAGTGGTTAAAACTCTCTTGTAGTGGTCAAAAGATCACTTAAAACTTATTTTCCAGGACCTTGACTTGCCAGGATGCCCATCAATTTTGATGATGTGATGCGACTGCTCTGCCATCTCGCTCAGGTGAAGGGAATGAAAGCTGCTGTCAGACACTCTGGTCGAGGAGCACTGCTAGCAGGTGCAACAGCATTTATTGGAGGTCTGATGGGAGGTCCACCTGGAATTGCTGTAGGTAAGTGTGTAGGAACAAGAAGTGTGGTTAAGTGCCCAAGTGAAGAAGTGTGGAAGTCTGTCTAGTCGGCGTGGGTTGAAGGAAAGGGGTGTGCAGTGTGAAGGTCTCATGTGTCTGGGCTTAAATAAGATGCCATTTTATAGCTGGCTGTTGAGAAAGGAGGTGTGCTTCAGGAAGGCACGTGTTGGTGCTTCCTGGTAGGGATGGAGATAGGGTGATAGTGAGCTTGCTGGCTTTGCTCCTGCGGGGCCAGTGGGAAGGCATCCTGAAGGCTGAGGCTGAGAGAGTGTCTCCCTGAAGCTGTCTGAACAAGCTGTTCACACGTTGTTTGATGTTGTTGGGGAGAGCCCTGGTTCCCACCTGCCGAGGTGCACCAGTGTCCTGGGTCTGGGACAAAACAGAGAGCGAAGGACCACGCTCTGAGCTGGCTGGTGCTGGCTCTGCTCCAGCGCTGGCATGGGGGAGTGAGGAGGAGAGGGGGGAGGCACGTGAGAAGGAGCACAAGAGATGATGGTAGCAGTTGAAGGGGGGAGGAGAGGGGTAATGTTGGTACCTGGTAGCCCAGAGCAAGAAGTGTGGGGTTTCAAGTGAGGGTGAGTAAGTGTTGTTAGTCAGCCTTAGCAAGGGACGGGATCATCTTCCTGGTGACCTTATTTCTGTGTTTCAAAAGTTCCTGCTGTACGCCTCTTGGTGAACTGGATTTTTTTCCTCTGGAATTCATTCTTCTCTATCACTTTGGCATTTTTCCTCGTATGGAAAAGTACAGGAAAGCCAGAGCCCGATGGTAACGGGTTGTCTGTCCTTTGTGTCTCTTGAATTAAGAGTTGTCTGGTACTCGGAGCTGCCTTGGCACTGAAGCAGCTTGGACCTTGGTCCTTGAACGCTCCTGACTCCTGTGAGCAGTTCTGGGAATTTCCCGGGCCCCTTGGTTTGGGAGAGAATTGCAGCACGTCTGCCTAGAGGGTGAGCAAGGCTGTGTCACCAAAAAAATAAGCAAAGAGTATGTGAGGAGTGATCACAGAAAATGCAAAATGAAGCTGTGTGTGCACTCCTGTTACAAGAACAGAGCTTAATTAACAGGCAAAAATACTATTTGGACAAAGGTATGACTGAAGTTAGCAGGCAGATTGAAGTGGAAGGAAAAGCTTTTTTTAAGAAATTTGTGAGCTGTAAAATGGGAATACAAGTAAAAATGGAAGTGGTCCCCTTCCTGAGTGAGATGATGAGGAACACCAAAGTTCTTCTTGGCGGTGCTTTTTCCTTTTGTTTTAAGTGGTTTGGTTTAAGCCTTTGTAATGCCTCCCCGTCAAGCTCGGTGTTCTTCAGCCGCTGCTGAGGGCTGTGGAACAAGTATCCCTACTCCTGTGTACCAAAAGCATACAACAATAAGTGTATATAGAATAAGAATGGTAAGCACCAAGTCTACCAAAAGCCGTGCTGCGATTTCAGTGCAACTCAATCCAGAGACCGTCACTGAACAGATAAAGTGGCAAAGGTGAATGACCCTGAGTCTTTAGGGAGTTTTCAGACAGCTGCAGGGACGTTTTCCTGTGAAGTGCACGTTCACTTTCACCAACAGGCTGGAGAGGTTGATAGCAGGAGTCGTCCTCCTCACCGCCTTGCACCAACAATGAGAGGATGAGTTACCTTCCACCTGCAGCAGTGTGCCATGCTTCCTAAGGAGTGCTTGCTCTGAGAACAATGGATTGTGGAGGTGTTGCTTGTAGGGGGAAGAATTGTGACCATGTCACAAATGTCATCTCGACAGACGTGGAAGTTAGGCATCAATTCTTCTAGTGGCCTTTGCATTAAGTGCCCCTAAGTCATCAAGGTATTGATGCTCCATTAAAAGTTCCTTGAAGATGACTTCAGCCATCATAGGCTGAAAACCTGCATCCCTGTGAGTGCTAAAATGACTTTTTAGGAGGAGTTGCTGGGGGTGGGAATTTTGGCGGTGGGTTTGATTCTGCCACCACTCTGTTGTGAGGGTTCTCCTTCCTTCCACCAGGATGTTTGTGCCTCTGGGCAGCGATGTCAGTCGTGTGCATGGCTTTTGGGGAGCCAGTGATGCAAGCTGGACTGGTAACTCGTTGAAAGAGAACAGCCCTGTGGCACTTCAAGGCTGGTTTCTCAGCAGCATCCACAATCATGTCAGCTGTAGAGGATCCCTCTGCTGTTATCTTGCATTGATTATCCTTGCTGGAGGCTGTGGCTAAAATGTCAGGTGTTAACAGTAACTGGTAAAGAGTAACATCTCTCTGTCTGTTTTCCAGGAGGAGCATTTGGTGGGTTGCTCGGTGCCTGGATGGCTTCTGGACAGTTCAGGCCAGTCCCTGATATTCTAATGGAATTGCCTCCTGCTGAGCGGCAGAGACTGTGCCGTGAAGCCAGTGCTATTCTCAGGCAGTTACACTGGGCTGATGCTGCTATGCTGATTCCTCTTGTGATGAACAATCCTGCTGTCCAGCAGAGCTTGTCAGCAGTGCTGATAAAATTCTTCTCCCAAGGCCTAAATGCAAAGATAGTGTTTTGAGAATAAAACTTTCCAGAGCAGGCTTTTTACAATATAGTGAATTTTAATCTGACAATTGTGATTGTTCAACTCTTATTACCAACAAATATTAGTAGTGGGTGCTAATTACAAATATAAGCAGATCTAAGTATTGTTTAGATGTTTGCATTTTTGGGGTGTGTTTTTTTTGTAAGGATAGTATTAGATATCTGCAACTATCCTGTTTCCCTGTGTGATTTGTAATACATCTGTGAACGTCCAACAGGTGCCAAATGACTTGGAAGAATTTTACTTGCTGTCTGTTTTAGTCCTGCAAGGAAAAGGTGTAAGAAAGTAAACTATGATACTCTGAATTCAAAGATCTCAATCCTTACTTTATTCTTTGTTGTATTTCTACTTTAGTTCTTAAGGCATTCATTCTTTTCCATAAGAAAGGAAGCCAAGCCAAAACAAGATTTAAGGAAACA